TAAGAAAACATGCAAGGTAATATGAGATGATGCTAACCATACATGTCCCGTGTGCCAGGTTGCAAAGAGGATAAGGGTTTGGTTACATATTCCAAATGCAGATGACGAGTACAATACTTCTACTTTGATATATTTGATAATTAACGAAGTTGGGGAAAGAAACAGAAAAGGGGGGGGGGGCAGAGTAGGTCAGGAATTTGATCCGCCGGTGAAACGTGGAGGGCAAACGCGTGTGTGAAGGACAAAACCTACACGTTGCCAGCACACCACTCTCCAGTGAACACCTAGAGACTGACTGACTATGAGTTTGTCTGTAGATGTCGATCTGTCTGTGAGCAGCACATGTCAGTCTCATTCTTTTCGCAATTACCTTGTTTATATCTTTCAAAAAGTGTCAGCAATTTGGGCTTATTTGTATTCGTGTCAGGCCTGGATAATTAACTTTCAGACGGACGCGATCTACGACCTTTTAGTTTGCTGGCTTTGCTTATGCTCAACCCAATTTTTTGCTATCGGAGCCCACTCGTCGTTGCTCATCCGCCTACACCCCTCCCCCACCCCCGCCCTGTTATATAGCAGTTTACCTGAGCAGCTCCAGAGTACTGTAAACACTTCAATCTTCGTGTCTCTTGCCACATTTCAAATATGCGAGCACATCTCTGCACCTGAGCTATTGTTCTGTGTTCTACTGCAGTAAATCTTGGGTTAGCTGTTAATTCACACTCACCTGAGCCATTGTTCTATGTTATACTGCAGTAAATATTGGTTTAGATTATAATTAACACACACACACACATACACGCACACACACCCACACACACACCCACACACACAAACACACCCACACCCACACACACCAATGGAGCAGAACTCTCAATTAACTTGTGATAAACTTTTTCAGACTTGCCCACTGCTGTTTTGCTTTTCTAACTGAAGCTTTTTCAGGACTGGGCTAGCCAACCTCAAGACCATCTCAAATGTAGTGGCTTTTTACGACATGCTTGAAATGGAAAATTCTATCTTTTTTTCCTAGCATCCTCAAAGGCTCTAGAGGAGGCTTAATCACGAGAGCATGGCGCAAATTGAACTACCCAAAAAAAAAAATGGCAGCGTCCCGCCTGTCAATACGCCTTAAAGACGAGTACCTCGTCTAGTTCTATCTCTGTGTACCCTTTCCATGTCGCTGTTGAGGCGAAACAGATATTTCCATAGGATCTCCATTACTGCCGCGTTTTTGTCAGTGGTATCCCATGTCATTTGTAAATCTTTTTATTGTCCCTTTCTTCTGTTCCTCTCCAGGCTTCAAAAGTGCCTCCGCGTGTCCTTTGTCTGTTTGCCATCCATCGGAGTGGTGTTCTTGCTAAAGTATGTCAAGGCATTCGACAGACACGTCCAATCCATTTCTATCTTCATCCTTCTGATATTGTTTGGCTAAAATATTGACAGGATTCTTCCTCGACAGTTTGAAACGTCTTTTGTGTATGTGTAATTCTCGCTGTCATTTCCCAACACTGTTGTATAACAGTATTGCCAGATTATTTCTGTTGCAGGAGTTCTTTTTCAAAGTTCCTGTGACATGCTGTTGAGTAGGGCAAATGCTTGGTTTGTTTAGCTTCCAGAATGTTGTTCACAATGTTCCAGGGTGTGATCCTGTCGGTGATAGATTATGGACTTGGAATGCTTACTATATCAAAGAGTCGAACGCATACAGAATGAAGCCATGCGGGTAATTCTGGAATCTACAAGAGATACCCCGATTGTATGTATGCGATATAAACTTGCACCGCCTACTTTTGCAGATAGGCTCATATCTAAGAATAGCTGCAGACAAGAGGCACCTCGTGCATGAATCATTGGATAGAGCTAAGGGTCACAGACTAAAAAGAGGCAAGTCTTGGATGGCGCAAGCTTAAGACACTTATGGACATGTATGTAGGCTTGATACATTTGAGCTAGGAGAGAAGCGGGTCAAGGTGTCCGAGCAAGCTTCAGACTTGTGTAGGGTTCTGATCACTTTAGGTCGTGAGAGCAGAGACTGGCCTGCTGATGCTGCACAATCAGAAGTTTAACAAATGTTTCATGACAATCCCCGCCCAAGTTATGTGATTTTCTAAACAGAGTCAGTGCATGGGAGTTCATAGCAAGGGCAAATGGACGTCGCTTAGTGCAGCAAAGCCTTGAACATAATATCATAACGTCTAGCAAGAGAATGAAGGTGGGGGCAGTTTCTGCTGCCTTCCGCTGGGTAGATAATCAGCTGTACACGTATGCAGTGATTGCAACTGACTCACAGAGCATGCTGAGAAAGGTGAAAGGCATGCTTCGTGCAGAGTGGCAAGCATCACTTCAGAGGTAGTTAGCATCCTTTATATATTTTCTCCAGGTATGCCGGTATGTTGGAAAAGGGGCAGGCAGATAGACTCGCCTGCTCGACACCACGTGGTGGTGAACTGATGTTTGACAAAACAGATATTGTGTGGGCCTTTTGGGAACCGGTGAACATTGCTGAGGTGCAAATAGATCAATGCAGTCTGAGGAGAATAGGGCTGCGAGGAGTTACCAGGGGATCTGGCCGACGCTCAACACTCAGGGGAAGGATGAGACGGATATACAATTAGACGGTTACTGGTACCATCGGAATTGGAACTCTTTGCTTGCTGCTGAAGATAGGGACAGAGCTCTTATAGAAGTGTCTCCAGTGCTGTAATGTCGATTCCTAATTCAACTTTCTTCTTCTTTTTTTTTTCTTCTTGTCTTTTTCTTCTTCTTCTTCTTCTTTTTCTTCTTCTTCTTCTTCTTCTTCTTTTTCTTCGTCTTCTTCTTCTTCTTCTTCTTCTTCTTCTTCTTCTTCTTCTTCTTCTTCTTCTTCTTCTTCTTCTTCTTCGTCTTCTTCTTCTTCTTCTTCTTCTTCTTCTTCTTCTTCTTCTTCTTCTTCTTCTTCTTCTTCTTCTTCTTCTTCTTCTTCTTCTTCTTCTTCTTCTTCTTCTTCTTCTTCTTCTTCTTCTTCTTCTTCTTCTGTGTTAACCCTTAAAAGGACGGCAGATACTTTGCATTGTGGTTTACAGCTAAGATGCAAGTCAAATTTCAGTGCAACACATCTGATTTAAGAAAAACAAAAATCAGTCGCCTATTACGACTTGATTGTTACGAGTGTCTATTCTTTCAGCCGTTAGACTGCAGGGCCCATCTGCAGAGAGCAAATACAGAGAACAGAAATAAAATACACAAAGTTATTCTCTCCAAATGATTGCCTCTATACGAGAAGATTTACAGTATCCACAGCACAGGTACCGCCAACTCACACCACGCGCACACAGACATACACACAGACATACACGTACAGGCACAAGCGCGGGGATTGAACTGTGGGCTCCTTGCCAGCTTGAGTTACCATAGCAGCGGGGCGGATGGGATTTTCTGCTTATGCTAAAAATGTAGGTATGCTGGGGTGGGTTACTGCCAAACTGAGATCTTCCTAACTGAGCCACGTGTTTCTGTCTGTGAACAAACTTTCCACAAATATGTACGCCCAAGAGAGAGGGTTCAATGATAGAAGTTACAATATCACAGTGTCTTTAGCTTCGTTATCTGTACAGCTTTTATGCTAAAATTATTACCTCGTCTGTTTCTAATAATTCACTTCCCCCCACCCTCCTTCTCTCTCTCTCTCTATCTCTTTCTCTCTATCTCTCTTTATCTCTCTATCTCACTCTCTTCTGTTTGTCTGCGTGTGTGTCTGTGTGTGTGCCTGTGGGTTGTGTGTGTGTATGTATCTGTGTGTTTGTGTGTGTGTTTGCGTGTGCGAGTGTGGGCATGCATTTTACCACAATTTTGTGTTTCTTTTTGACGTTCACAATATGCATATTATCATATAAAATATATAAAGTTCGTTCGTTCTTCTGCTTCTGCCTCTTCTTCTTATTCTTCTTCCTTTCTCTCTTCCTCTGTAACTCATCTGTCAAACCATTTCCCACAGCAAATTATTCATAACGCTAACTCTAGGACACACAATCGGCAACTATTTAAATATTATCTCATTACAAACTACATGCTCCCTTAAAAGATACTACATTGAGCATATAGTATATTTCGCCCAGATATATTGCACTTACTACACTAAGAATTATAACTGTTTAGAAATGTAGGTATAATTAGATCGTAATTATGTAATTAGGACTTACATGTTTATTATTCTTTCTTAAATTACGTTTGAATGAAATCAGTAGCGTAGAACGAAAGGGGGAGGGCTGCGGGCAGCTCCGAGTTTCAAAATAGCAAAAATATGTTTAAAAAAATTTATATATATATATATATATATATATATATATATATATATATATATATATATATATAAATTTTAAAGACATATCCATATATAAGCATTAAACGTCTATTGTTAAGCACTAGCAAAGACATGAAAATAAAAAATGTGAGGGGCTTTTGATGTAAAATGCTATAGAAAGATTCTCAGAATACCACGGACAAAGAAAAGAAGACATACTGAAATTATTAAGAATCTGTACATCAAGGAAGATTGGCTAATAAACAGCATCTTCTCTTGAAAGCTGAAATAGTTTGTTCATATCAAGCGCCAAGGCGGATTGGGGAAAAATATAGTATAGAAGGCATGGTACAAGAAAATAGGAGAAGGGGCCGACCAGCACGAAGGCGGGCACTGGATATGAGTGACTCCTTGAGTGTGAAAGTGCATGGGGCGCGAGAGACTAAGATTTTTTCAGGCAGACCGAGATGAGAGCGATGTTCAGCAAAGCACCTGCCACATGATGATGATATATCTATATATATATGATGGGAATGGGGGAGTTATCATCATCATCATCATTCTTTCACACCATCTCTCACAGTATTTGTCTGTGACACAATTCTTCTCATAGCACTCTTTTCTTCTTTCATTTAGACATTTCAATCTTTCACTCAGACACATTACAGGTAGATAAAGCCTAAAGTTTTTCTTTTTTGTTTCTTCCCACAGATTCACAATGTCTGAAGAGGTAAGTGTTCAAATTTAGTGGAGTGAATTAATGTTATTTATGAAATACACTCACTGTTCCTTCTGCCTATCTGATGTCTGGTCTGTCTGTGATTATGACTGTCTGTCTGTTTTGTTATTTGGTCCTTATTAAAATTGTTCCCTCCTTTTCTTCTTAGCGTTTTTGTTTCGTATTAAAATTGTTCCCTCCTTTTCTTCTTCGCTTTTTTGTTTTGTTACATTTCAAATCCTATCCCTGAAACATTTGTTTCTTTTGACTTTTTCGTTAGACTTCAAATCCTATTGCTGAAAAATGTTTTTCTTATTTACTTTTTCGTTGAACTTCAAATTCCATAGCTAAAACTTTTTTTTTGGGGGGGGGGGGGGGGGGGTGCATTTCAAATCCAATTCTGGAAACTTCCCCTTTGTACATTTACTTACTCAAATCTTTTCCCCAATGATATTCTTGATGTCAGCTTTTCCGTTATTTGTTATGCGTCTTACTATTCATTGCTCATCTTCCATACTACGTATATTCATATTACCTTCCTTAAGAAGTTTATTTTAAATGTAAATTTCCTTATTTTTGAAAAATTTACCATTTTAATTATACACTTTTCTTATCTTCCCATTTTCTGTTTTCTTTACAGCTAGTATTTGACTAAAAGTGATTTTTCTCATATTGATACATGCTGAACTGTCATATCCTATTAGTTGACAATGCTCTAGTTAGTGTTGTAGAATTGTTTGTGACACACTTTATGACTCTTTTCTATCCATTAGTTAGTTTGTAATTAGATATGCATGACTGTGATGCTACCTCATAAATATGCAGGCAGGTGGTGCATATTTAAAATGTATACAAATTATTATGATAATAGGGTTTTTTTTGTGTGTCGTAATAGTAGGATTAAGTAATATTTATCAAAGCAGCAGCAATACTGCTAGTAGTAATAGTCACTGTTGCAGCAGCTGTAGTACTAACTGTTGGAGTGAAGGTGGTAGTGGTGGAGGTGGAGTTAGCAGTTGTAGTAACTGCTGCAGTAATCTTGGTGGTTGTGATGTTGTGATAGTAGCAGTTATGCTGATGGTGATTGTGGTGGTTGTTGTAACTAATGTTAGCCCCACAAATACAATATTTGAGTTACTTTATTGAAAAAAGAATAGCCCAAAAAATCAGTGCAGAAGACATACACGTACACAGTGTAAGTTAAATACACTGTGAAATGAAAAAAAAAAAGAAGTCAGGAATGCCTGCCAATAATTTATGAGGTTGCATTGCAAGTAGTAGTTGTAAGTTTTTGCAGTAAGTAAACTGAAGACATACAATGTGAACATAATACTATAATTACAATCTTGATTTGGTGCATCTAGTGCCTAAAATTGTTTTGTTTTAATTTTTGTTAAAAAAGAAAAACAAAGTGTTATATAACACCTTTGATAATGAAATCACGAATATTTCAATAATGAAATAATGCATTTCAGTTATATTTATGGTGTTGGTCACAATTACTACTATTTGGTGCTATCAAATCATCTGGTGTGTTGGAAACAAGTAGGCTCTAGAAGTGTGAAAAGTTAACTGCAGTTTAAAAAAAATGTTCTAGCCTTTTCTTCATCATTGTAAATCTGCATATTTGTTTTTACTTACAAATGTAATGTAAACCAGAATCTACATATTTTCTGAAGTAACTGGAAAAAGTATTTGCAATAAGCTGTAATGATAAAAGTTTCCTGATATCTTGGGAGAAGGAAACTCAGTGAGATCCCATTTTGTGAATGTCTCCAGAACCGTTTTTCTTCATAGCTGTGCTATTTAAAGGCCTACTGTGACCCAATGATTCCCACTGTGGGTGTCCAGAACCTTGTTCAGTATTTTATTCTATGGAGATGGAGTACAGGCTATCCTCATAATAACGGTTCTAAATTATTGAGGCCAAAAATATACCCTAACAGGGCCTCAGTCACATGTAAATTAAGGAATTCCGGCGACTGCCGCTACTGCTGAGCGTATCTCCCATGCCGCACGTAGCGGTGCGGAGTGGGGCTAAACTAGATGGCTGGAACTCACAAGCAGATAAATTGAAGAAAGCAGCAGAAAATGCGGAAAGCTGCTGCTCGTGAATCCTAGCCATCTAGTTTAGACCCACTCCGCGCTGGAAGATACTCTCGGTGGTGGCGTAGACGCAGGAAGTCAGCAATTTAAGTCGCAGGAAGTCTGCAATTTACATGTGCCTGAGGCCCTGTTAGGGTATATTTTCAGCCTCGATAATTTGGGACCGTTATTCTGAGGATAGCCTGGAGGACATTCATATTTGTTGAATTCTGTTGCTTCTTGCTCCTTATGAAGCATCAGTGTTTTCAAGCTGCTGGGTTGAGGCGATGCTACAATAAGTTATTATTTGTATCAATGGAAACATTGGTATTTCAAACGTCAGTGCAGAAAAGCAGAAAACATATGATGTAGAAATACAGAGCTACAGTTCTGTTTTCAGCATTTCCCAAAACTTTTTTAGAAATGTCATGTTTAGTTTGTCAACAGTTACTGTAGTTTTGCTCTTGTGTTTATTACATTGCCATCCTGCATGACCAGCTTTTTATTATTTTTCATTTTATTAATAAACTTTAAAATCAGCTGTCATGAATTTTGAAGCTTCGTTGCAACTTTTCACTTCTGTTCTAACTAAGTTTTGAGTGTTTTGTTTCAGATACCCCTAGTTCCTTAGTGCAGTAGCTGCCCCTTGTAGAGCTCTCCCTGTTGATGATGTGAACATTAGAAGAGCTTGGACATGTAAATACATTAGTTGTTTGAGCAGAAGTCTGTTGCTGATGTAATTTACCCCTGCTTCCAGCAAACTATTTTTGTTTATTATGCACATCTTTTTGGGGGAACTGCCAGTTTTTATTGTTTTTGATCTTGAAAATTAGATCTATAAAGTACTTGTGTGTGTGTGTGTGTGTGTGTGCACGCATATGCAAGTGTGTGTGTGTAGGTGTGTGTGTATGTATGTGTGTGTGTGAGTGTGTGTCTTACAATACATACACACCCACCCAGCAGGCCAACAGGCAAGTGACACCTTTATTCAAATGTTCCTTCAGAGTGATTTTGTATCATATCTGATCATTAACTTAACGTAGAACTTAACTTAACTCAACATAGAACTGGTACTATTAGCCATCGGACGTTAGGATTCATACTGAGGGGAGGATCTGAGCACCTATGGACATGTCCGGAGTGCAATGATGATAACCCAACTAACTAACTAACTAACTAACTAACTAACTTAACGTAATATTTATCTGGCATCAAACCAACCTGAGGGTGATTTACTTCACTTCCTGTTTTACTCAGCTACCCTGGCTTATAGATGCTGCATGACTTGTTGGTTTTATATCTTCTGGATGACTGGAAGTTCAAGTTTTCTGTTGATTGCAATTATGTTGTTAGATCCATTCAACGGCATGTATCTTCTACATCTTCTTCTTTTTAAAGTTCATGCTGTGTGGCGTTGGTAGTCACATCTATCCACAACCTTCTGTCTTGTGTGCTTTCAATCAAATCTGACACAGATGATCCTCCATGCCATGATGTCAGACTGTTCAGCATCTGTTCTCCCTCTGCCTCTCCTCTCATCCAGGTTTCTTACTGTGACGATGTACTCCAGTTTTCTCCTTCTCATCATATTTCTATTAGTGGGGAAACTAGCATATTGGTTTCTTCTGGTAGAGCACTTGCAGTACAATTTCAGGAAGTCCAGTAGAACTCTCTTTTCTTTTTTAAAGCTGGGAAACCACCAATGTGAGCAGGCCCAGCAATGGAATATAGATCTATGAAAAGACATGATGGTCCTGTAACATAAGCTCTGTGATAGGACATGATGATCCTGCGACATTAGCTCTGTGATAGGACATGATGGTTCTGTAACATACGCTCTGTGATAGGACATGATGATCCTGTAATATTAGCTCTGTGATAGGACATGATGATTCTATAACATTAGCTCTGTGATAGGACATGATGATTCTATAACATTAGCTCTGTGATAGGACATGATGGTTCTATAACATTAGCTCTGTGATAGGACATGATGATCCTGTGACATTAGCTCTGTGATAGGACATGATGATTCTATAACATACGCTCTGTGATAGGACATGATGGTTCTATAACATTAGCTCTGTGATAGGACATGATGATTCTATAACATACGCTCTGTGATAGGACATGATGGTTCTAAAACATTAGCTCTGTGATAGGACAGGATGGTTCTATAACATTAGCTCTGTGATAGGACATGATGGTTCTATAACATTAGCTCTGTGATAGGACATGATGATCCTGTGACATTAGCTCTGTGATAGGACATGATGATCCTGTGACATTAGCTCTGTGATAGGACATGATGATTCTATAACATACGCTCTGTGATAGGACATGATGGTTCTATAACATTAGCTCTGTGATAGGACATGGTGATTCTATAACATACGCTCTGTGATAGGACATGATGATCCTGTAATATTAGCTCTGTGATAGGACATGATGGTTCTAAAACATTAGCTCTGTGATAGGACAGGATGGTTCTATAACATTAGCTCTGTGATAGGACATGATGGTCCTGTAACATAAGCACTGTAAAAGGACATCATGATCCTGTAACATTAGCTCTGCATTAAGACATGAAGATCCTGTAACATAAGCTCTTTGATAGGACATGATTATCCTGCTGTAACATTAGCTCTGACCTAATTTGTGTGAATGACTGGATGACTGGTTTTTCAAAGTGCTAGACCATATTTTGACTTATCACTTTGCTTAGTGTTGGAAATAGAACTCAGGGTCATGCTGTAAGAAATACTGGTTTATTTTATCTGGGTTTTTTTTTTTAAAGCATGCATACATTTTTGAGAAAACTGACCCAATTTAAATCTATTTTCAATGGCAGCGTCACTACCACATATATACTGTAAGAAATTTAGAATTTTTAATTTTAGCATAACATACATATAAATTTGAATGAGATTGTTAATTTCATGTTGTTTGCTCTTTGTTCCTATTATTGTGATCATTTGTAAGAATTACTGTCTTCACTCAAAAATACTCAGCTATCTTCAGTTCGTATTGTTACGTACGACTAAAAAAATTTGCAGTTTTGTGCTGTTGTACATTAGTAAATGAAAGCAACTGAAATATCTGGCATTTCCCCCAGAACATGTGCAGTTAAAATATACAGCAGCAGAATTATGGGATAATTGTGTGATTTGCATTTTCAGGAAGACAGGCAGGGTAGCCGAGCGGCCAGGGCCACTTCAAATGTTTTTGCAAAATTGCCAAAAAAGACAATGCAGGAAATGAAAGAGGTAGGAAAGTGAGGTCACTGGAGGTACAATTCTGAATAAATGATGGTCCACTTTTGTTTTTTCTTTCAGACTTTGCAATCACTGGCTATTTTGTCACTGGCATGAAATCTGTTTTGTTCTGAAGAATTTCTGTGTCACAGAAATACAATTATAACTTTCAAGAATTTGATGGGTAATAATTTTTTTTTTTTTTTTTACTTCCCGTCTTTAAATAGTTATGTCACTCACCAGCAATTTTAAATGCATCTAAAGCCCCCTTTGTCAGTCGACATGCCAGTGACAAAGATGTCAGAAATGGTGCAAAGTTTGTCAGATTTTTTATTTTACTTTTATGTGTATTTTACCTGTTATTTTGTTTCTTAGGTGTTGACCAGTTGACGTCATCAGATCAGCAATGGCTACAATCATCTATTTATGGCGTCATATGCCAACTTTGGGACTTTCATATTTTTGTCAGTTATAAAACAACCTGTCAATCTCATTTTACTTGTACTTTTTAAGAAACACTCTCGCCAAACGACCAACGTGCTCTCAAAGTTCCGTCCAGTGCAAGTCCAGGAATTCAAGGAGGTCGAGTATACATTTAACCAGCATACAAAGTGAAAACCACTCACTGGTTTTTGTTAACCCTTTCGAAACTGAAAAAAAAAATTATTTGAAGTAATAACCCTACAAGGCCTTTCAAGATATGTCCCTTTCAGACTTAACTTGCACTGCATTTGCATAAGCGTCCACAAGTTTGTAGTTGTCTGCAAATTGTACTTGTTTACCATGATTAGGCTGCATGATGATGCAGTCACAATGCTAAATTTAGGTGCAAAACTGGATAAAAAAAGCAGCATGTTAATCTAAAATTTACTTTTACAAATTTGCAGACAGCCACTAAGTTTATGTGTATGTTCGTATGAATCTGTGTGTGTGTGTGTGAATTTCACCATCATAATGTTTGAAAAGCATCCTAAATATTCCAGTTTTTTGTTTGTCTGTGAGTACATTTCCTTTGGTTGTTTAATTAACCATGATAACTGGAATAACATTCTTTGACAAACACACTAGCTATACATCAGAGACATAAAAGAAAGATTAAATAGTGAAAACCTCTAGGAGATATGTATTCAATCAGAAAGAATGTACTAGAAGTGAAATCTGCTGGAGTTTACAGCTGGTGAAGAAGAAAATAAACAAGCTGATAAATACTGTACTTACAGAATATGCTGGCAACAAAGGTCACTTAAAGGTTGTGAGCACAGTGTCATAATTATTACATACCAATGTTTGAAGCTGGAGAATGAAGTTAGAAAGATGGAGAGGACATGAGGAGAGCTCCATGCAATGGCGAAGGATAGAACAACTTGGCGTGAGTTGGTTGAGGGCCTATGCTCCATTGGGGGATAGAAAGGCAGAAGAAGAAGAATGTTTGAAGTCACCTGCTAGCATTTTGGCAGACCATTTTGCATTGATTTTGACAACAAAGTGAGCATCAAACTATTCAGAAAGCAATGGCAAACTACAGACAGTTGAATAGCCTATAGCAACCACTAAATGCTGGGATTGTTGTTGTTTTTTTTAATTTGTTCATTCACATGCCATGATTCACTACCATACAGCAATACAGGTTCTACATAACATTTTAGTACTCTATTTTGGACATACAAAGAGAGGGAACTGTTTTTACTTCATTCAGTGAAATTCAGCTTTAGCCTGGCCTGTTCTGCTCTTAATTTCTGGCTGTAGATCATTTTCATTTTCAGCGTTAAATACTGGTTTAAAATATGTTGCATAACGTATGTAGTTTATATTATTATAACTCCCCACTCTAATTCCTCTCTTTGATCACTCTCAATATTATCTCGCTCGCTGTAGAGAGAGAAGAGGTCAGGTGACAAAACACATCCCTGTCTTACTACCTGTTTGATCTGTTCGTATGTTTCCACTTTATTTCCAGTTTTAATAGCTGTCATTTGCTTCCAATAAATATTCCTAATTATTCTGAGATCTTTCCTATCAATATTATTATCTCTCAAAATTTTGAGAAGTTCCTTGTGTTTCACCTTATCAAATATTTTTTTGTAATCTATAAAGCATAAATAGAAGTTCTTCTGGATTTCTGTTCGAAACTAATAATTACTCCACAACTTTCCTGACAGATCATTAATGCTTTGGTTTAATATTTGTTACTTTTGTTATATTTAACATTTTTGTTAGACTATCATAAATATTATATTATTTAACCAGTGCTATTATACCTTTTACTTTTGTTTTCTTTTAATGCTACTTCTATTATTACTGTTGCTACTATTACTACTACCACTATTACTACTCCTATTATGATATGCTTATAATTTTTAATCATAACTCTTTTGGTCATTTGTTTGAGGTGTCTGTGTGTGTGTTTGCGGATAATGTGTGATTTTAACATTGATAACACGTGTTATACTCCAGGCATCAGTGTGTCACATTATAACATCCGATCTATGGGAGGCACAGCAGTAATGCTGTTGGACCTCTGGCACGGTTCTGTACCATGATAATAACACATACATTTGTACTGGGACAACATCATCAAAGCAAACAGAGTTCAATAGTATCTATAGACAAATAACTATTCTCTTGAAACATATACCCAGCTGTATTGTTCCTGACATCCATGAAGGAAGCAAAGAATAGTAACACTGAAACCTACCATGCATGTCATAAGAGGTTATTCAGGAAGGTTGGTGTGAGACCAGCTATCTCATTCCGTGTAAAACTTTATATACATAATTCAGTCATTCATAAACATTTCTACTAATAGCTTGATGCCAGCTCAGATTGTGTTCCAATGAATCGTTCTGGAGGGACAAGAAATAGATCCACTGTCCCCAGGCAAGCATGTCACAAGAGGTGACAAATTAGGGTTTTGCTGAATTCAGATGTGATGGACAGAAAGGCAGATATTACAGCCTAGCTGTAAACCACAATACAAAATGCTAACTGCATTTTTGAGGGTGAACACACACACACACACACACACACACACAAAAGAAGATGATAACTAAACATAATTAGAATATGAAAGGTACAAGAAGAAGAAGACAATAAGAATAAAACACATACTAAGAGCCTAGCCTAACAAAGATGATGAAAAGTGTAGCTACATTTCTTGATTTATGCTCTCCAAAGAAAATCAAGACTCAGGTAATTGCAGCTTGTAACGACCATGCAAAACAGGATCATCACCCAGTTCTAACTACATACCAAACATGTTACCCTGATGTTTGCTCAGGTCCTGTGCAGCAAAAACGTCACAGAATGCCCATCAATTAAAATCCTAAAAGTGGAAAATTTTAAGGAAATAAAACCAAGATGCAGAGACAGACCTAGAAGAACACGGCCTGAGGTGGTCACTGACATTCTAAGACTTGAAAACATCACAACATACCATACAACTAAGTGCATACTGGCTTGGCTACTTATCATCTGTTAAATTGTGACACCTTGTCGATAGGAGACTCGCTTTCAAATCCAGCTGCGACTTGCTGCAGCCCACGGCCGGTGTTTGAAACCGGGCAGTTCCCGGGGTTCACCCAGCCTCTAGGTAATGGGTACTAGAGTTAGCACTCTGGGGTAAATGGAGAAACGTCGCTGTAGCTACGGAGTTGTGTGCGGAAGGCGACAAAGGCGGACAGTTTCTTATCAGCTGCCCGTACTGGTGGCAGAGCCCTTATGGTTTATGACCGTGTGCTACTGGTTCCCACCTCCTGACTTCACCTTTACCTTGTGGCAAAAAGCAGACACTTACAGAAGAATAACAGAGAGAAAGAAAATCATCATATCTTCATTAGTTAAATATACAGTACACAGTACTGTTAAATATACAGTATGAAGAAATCTGTCTTCCATTTGAACTTTCTAGGACACATTAATGTCTCTTGTCTGTGTATGCCTCTCAATCAATTATCTAAATGTTTATCAATCATTTCAGAAGGAGCACATGCACTTTTCATATTGGTTAAATCTCTCTGAGATATCTGCCACAAAATCTTAAGGAAATTAAAGTCATGTAAAACAAGCAAGCAATTTTATTAGCTAAAAAAAAAAATATATATACAACTCTTAGAAACAACATCAGCTAAGAGGTGCGAGTGATTATGTTCCTCCACATTCTTGTGAAATATTTACACTTGATTTTTGACAACTGAACATACTCTGCTTAATTCCGGACAGTTCTGAGGAGAAAACCTGAGCACTGATGGACTTGTTCTGAGTGCAAAGATGACGACACACCTTTTGTACAATTTGATATGTGTTTTGTATAAGTGCTTATGAAACTTAGATTAGAATGGTTTATTGATGTGGTAAACTATTTTTTCTGAAATTGGTGTAGAATTGTGACTAAATATAAAGTATTTATTATAAAATATTTATTTTCTTAGTTTCTAAACCAAGGTAACATTTAAATGTTTACAAAAATGGTGCTGTTTCCACTTTGGGAGTTTGCTTCACTGTATCCAGAGTTAACTATGAAAATATTTTAATAATCTTTTTCTATTTGGCATTCAGTGGCTGTAGTCTCCTGCAGAAAGTTGTAGTTGTTCATCCACTATGGGACTTTACTCTTGTTCCTCAACTTGAATGTTGCATGCACATCCATTTTACAGATCTGCTTACTTGTATGCAGACTGTTGGTTTCTGACCTTGCAGGCAGACACACTCCAGATTTGAAATTCCTAATTAGTCATCTTTTTCTACATGCTCGATAGGGAGACAGTCGGTTTAATGTTTCACCAACAATGGGACCCTGGAACCCACACAGGCAGTCCAGACAACCATAAACATAGTTGCTTTTTAGCAAAGTGTAATGAACTATCTAGCATCTTTTACTAGAAACATCAACTTGTCTACCTCGTATTTGGTAGACCATGTCTTAGGTTTGATTGTATGTGTTGGCTGCAGAGCCACGTTAGTACTGTGGCTAGTCCAACCTGTTGATGCAAAGTTCTAGGGTTTTTCCACAGTCAGCCTTCTCTCTCAGGCCAACCCAGTGTATTGCCCTGGGAAGGGAAGGCAACCCATCGAGGGCTGGTGTGTCTATACAAAAATGAGTGTAGCTTGAGATGACCACTGTGTTAAAAAAGGTTTTTACTTGATTTGTTGTTGATTAATAGTGAAATTCAGGACTAAAAGAAAATAAACATTACTTAAGAACATTACAAGTCAGATGTATATACATATGTTTGTTGTGTTTTTTTTAGACGTATTTATTTATCTATCTGCTTTCTGCTTCCATGGGTTGCCATAATCAAAGGCCTTCACAATGATCGACCAAAACCGTGATGGTATCATTGATATAGAAGACCTCAAGGACATGTACTCCAACTTAGGTATGTAAATGTTCTAAACTTATGCTAGAGTTACCTACATATTTAGCAGAGATCTACTATGTTTGATGCAGACAATTACCTACACATGTATCACTGGCATAGTTTATATGGTTAAAGAGAAATAGGCAGTGTTGGAGAGAGTGAGCGAGATAAAACAGAGTGTAACACAGAGAAAGAGAGAGAGGCAGTGAGGGAGAGAGGTAGTGTGTGTGTGTGTGTGTGAGAGAGAGAGAGAGAGAGAGAGAGAGAGAGAAAGAGAGAGAAATTAAAAGAGTGAGTTACCTATTTTTGTAGTGGAAGGTTATCTATGTTTTTTTCAGTTACCTCTATTTGTATTGAAGATTATTCATTACTGTAGCAGAGATATCTCACTATGGGCACTAGATATTGTTAAATAAAGTGTACTAGAAAGTTGCCCATATTTTCATCATAGATACCTAAATTGTTGCCGAAAGGTCCTTTTCTCCTGAAGCTCGGTTTATATTTGCACTAATTTATTGTTTCCTGTATTTATATTATACTAAAGATGCACCTATACTTTTACCATCTACTCTTTTTCCATATTTAATCTATATTTTTACAGAAAGCAATAATTTTAAAGCAATTAATATTTCAAGGAAATACTGTGTTGCATTTTCTTTTTCTGTGCACATAGTTATCATAACTCCTGTCATGTAATATTTTAATAAAACTCCTTGCAACGTTTGCTTTCCATCTATTCCAGCTTTTCGCATTTATCTTTCTCTCCCCTCCACTGATTCTGTTACCTTATGTTTTTTCCTACATGAGGCTGATGTCCCTAGCTTCTTCTTTCTGTTGTCCTACTACTTTCGCTGTCAAGCAAAGCTTTTCAACTAGCAGCCCACAGGTCTAGCAACCCTAGCCAATAGCCCACGTATCACCTGCCACTTGTACTGTCATAGTGATCGTTCTATGATGGGTATCAGGCTTCTGGCCTCTGACAGTCTCCATTTTCCAACATTCTGGCCCCTGCATAAACTTAGTTGAACGGTCCTGCTATAAAGCAGTAAGATGTAGTTTCCTGCCTTTTGCTAAATGCATAGCTTGTCGCAATGTGTTTCTGTATGTCTATTTTAATCTCTCCTTCTGTTTCTTTCTTGGTCAGCCTCTTGACTCATGTAGCACGCTCCAGCTGTGGCTGCTTTTGTTCTACTCTCACCAGATGACCAAACCATTTGAGTCTTTCATGTTCTATGAAATCATTTACCATACTGTGCCTACCATTGTTTTAGTTCTTCATTGGTGACTATCTCTTTTTGCCATATTTCTTATATATACATCTAGCCCGGCTCTCTAGCGAAGTTGGTTAAACCTGGCGTTCGCGGCGGCCGGGTGACGAACTCCTTGTGGTCCGGGTTCACTCCCGGGGGTAGGCAGAAAAGCCACATTTCTCCCAGATTAACGGTACCTATAATGGAATCAAGGCCGAAGGGTTGCGATATCCATAGTACCGAGCCAAAGGGTTTACAACTCATGGTTTCTGGATACGTAAAAAAAAAAAAAAATATATATACATCTCATCCCAAATGTTTTGATTTTGTGTTAATGTTTTTTCTTGGACTGTCCATGTCTGACAACAATAGCACAAAGTTGGTACGAATGGCACATTTTTCTGATTTCCCTAAACCACCCTTAAATGTCTTTTGTCTTTTCTTATGTCTAGGATGAGGGTTCTTGTAACGCCTAAAGCCATCAAAATCTGAGAGAATGTTGTTTTTATTTCTTGATGTTGTTCTAAATGTTTTTCTCCACTGCCTCATCTTCTCTACCATTTTATACTTCAATGTCCAATAGTACAGCCAAAATTTTGATTATAACTCTGTAAGGCAATTTGCATAGTGAAGAAAGAAAATGGTTACTAAAACAGGAAAGATAATAGATATGGTAAGTTTTCATAAATCAACATTAGATAGACTGGCCAGCTCTGCAACACTTGGTGGTAAATTGATGAATGACAAGCTAGATATCGTGAGGGCCCATTGTGAGCAAGTGAACAGTGCAGAGGCACAGAGATCCTTACATTCTGAGGAGAATGGCACTGCAAGGGGTTACCAGGGGATCTGGCCAATGCTCAGCACTCAAGAGAAAGGCAAAATGGATAAACAAACAGACAATTACTTGTGCTATTGGAATTGGAACTGTTCGCTTGCTGCTGAAGATGCGGATGGAGCACTTATGGGAGTTACCTGAATGCAGCGATGTTGATTCCTATTTCAACATTCAACATTTAAATCAAAATTAATTGTGCAGATTTAACTTTACATTCATCTTCTTTCTGCTATAAAGTAAAGGGGACATTAGAAACCACAACAAAAACTAGCAGTCGAATGATAAAACTAAGCAACAACAAAAAACACACAGAAAAATTAACTAATGTCAGGTTTGATCGACAGGTCGAATTCCTCCCGATGCAGAGTTGAAGGAGATGCTGAAGGAAGCTCCAGGGCCTCTCAACTTTACAATGTTTCTCAACCTGTTTGGAGAAAAGCTCAGTGGTAGGTGCCTCGTATGTTTCTCCATCTGTGTGGAGAAAAGCTCAGTGGTAGGTGCCTAAAGTGTTTTCTGTACAGAAACTCAGAAGTGGGTATCAATTTTACAGTGTTCCCCTACTGTGGGATTTGAAAATCATCAGTTGTTCTCATGTTGCAGTCTTGATCTCATTGCAAGAATGGAAGATCCTCAGTTGTTCTAATGTCACAGTCTTTATCTCATGACAAGAATGGAAGATCATCAGTTGTTCTAATGTCACAGTCTTTATCTCACAGTGAGAATGGAAGATCATCAGTTGTTCTAATGTCACAGTCTTTATCTCACGGCAAGAATGGAAGATCATCAGTTGTTCTAATGTCACAGTCTTTATCTCATGACAAGAATGGAAGATCATCAGTTGTTCTAATGTCACAGTCTTTATCTCACAGTGAGAATGGAAGATCCTCAGTTGTTCCAATGTCACAGTCTTTATCTCACAGCGAGAATGGAAGATTCTCAGTTTTTCTAATGTCACAGTCTTGATCTCACGGCAAGAATGGAAGATCCTCAGTTGTTCTAATGTCACAGTCTTTATCTTACAGCGAGAATGGAAGATCCTCAGTTGTTCTTATGTCACAGTCTTTATCTCACAGCGAGAATGGAAGATCCTCAGTTGTTCTAATGTTACAGTCTTTATCTCACAGCGAGAATGGAAGATCCTCAGTTGTTCTAATGTTACACTCTTTATCTCATCGCGAGAATGGAAGATCATCAGTTGTTCTAATGTCACAGTCTTTATCTCACGGCGAGAATGGAAGATCATCAGTTGTTCTAATGTCACAGTCTTTATCTCACGGCAAGAATGGAAGATCCTCAGTTGTTCTAATGTCACAGTCTTTATCTCACAGCAAGAATGGAAGATCCTCAGTTGTTCTAATGTCACAGTCTTCATCTCACAGCGAGAATGGAAGATCCTCAGTTGTTCTAATGTTACAGTCTTTATCTCACAGCGAGAATGGAAGATCCTCAGTTGTTCTAATGTTACACTCTTTATCTTATTGCGAGAATGGAAGATCATCAGTTGTTCTAATGTCACAGTCTTGATCTCACGGCAAGAATGGAAGATCCTCAGTTGTTCTAATGTCACAGTCTTGATCTCACGGCAAGAATGGAAGATCATCAGTTGTTCTAATGTCACAGTCTTTATCTCACAGCAAGAATGGTAGATCATCATATTTTACTTTTGCCACAGTATTTATCTGTAAGGACAAAAAATCATTAATATGTACTTGTGATACAGAGTGTGTAAAAATTGCAGATATTGCATCCTAGCTGTAAACCACAAGATGTGTAAACTGCCTGGTTTAGGGTGAACACAGCAGAGAAGAAAACAATATGTCTGTGAGCAGACATCAATACAAGACCATGTATTGTATTCTTTATATCAAAATACCTATACTGTCTGATCTGATGAGTGTAAACACACAGAAATGATCAGGTTATCCCATAGATACTTGCAATACATTACCTTTGTTTTTATTTCAGTTTTACCTAATTAGATTTATTTACATTTTTCGCCCCAGAAAGAGAGTGACTTCCCTTGCCATTCATCAACCCTGTGTTGCTGTATATTATAGAATGTGAGTGCTTTTACCGGTTCCAAAACATACAGACCTGGCCCTAACCCAACAACCCCCCCGCCTCCCCATCTCTCCCATGTCCCATGAGAAAGTGCAGCATATGACCCATGACCACATGCAGCCTAGGCCACACGACTGGGCGTGGCATATATTATAGGCTACATGCAGTCGTGGGACGTAGGCTGCATTCTCTCATGGGATGTAAGGGGTTTGGGGTTAGGCCTAGTTCTGCATGTTTTGGGACCGTATAGCTATACAGTGACAGAGCACGACACCCCTGCAACATAGATCAAGCCCTGCGACACGGCGATTCATGAATGGCAGGGGAAGTCACTCTCTTTTTGGGGCAAAAAACGTAAATAGGAACCATGTTTGATTTTTTTGGGGGTAGTAAATTGTGAATGTCCAATTATTTAAACATTTTCCACACAGGAACGGATCCTGAAGACACAATACGACAAGCCTTCTCTATGTTTGATGCTGATGGGAAAGGCTACATCCCAGAAGAATAGTATGATTATCATTTCATTTCAATATAACATTTCTTTTGGCTTACTGACTGATAATACATGATATCCTTCCCCATGTGGGATGATTTTTTTGTTATTTTGAAGCCCCACTCTGGCTGTTGATGGGTTTCCAAATATAACTTAACGGTGTAATGATGTTTCTGGGACCTCTCCACGAGTGATCATCATCCGCATGGTAGCACTTTGTTTAACCAAGTGTTTATCACTTGGTGTATGTCCTTGTAGGGTTGAATCTCACTCATTCATGACTGATAACATCAACAATATGTTTGACATACATCGCTAACTTTCTGGAATTCTTGACCTCACTAACTGCTAAGTCATCATTTAAGATTATTTATATTTCACGAGAAACATGTTTTTGTGATTATTGGCAGTGGTGTATGGAAATGTGTATCAGATAACAGAAAAGCATTGACAAAGTTTGTGTAGTATTTGAAACATTATCAGTATTGTGAAAAGCAGTTAGAGTGTGTTTTTCAAACAGAAAACCAGATATTATTTAACACACCTTCTCATCGTTACCTGTTTTCTTCACTTCCTTCAATGTTGGTCAATAGCTGTATATTTATGTGTAGTCTCATTTGTTCTCCAATAACTGAGGTTTCTGTAAACACATAATCATCTATTCACATTTCCTGTACTAAAATTTGTCTTTGTACAGCGTTTCAAAATGGCCATCAAAGTGAGCTAGACACTATACCCCTGATTCTGTCATGTGTAGATCATCCATACCAAACTGAATCATTCTGCATAGGGTGTTCTTTTTTCCCACATACTGCCACCATGTTCCTCAAAAAATATCTGCTTTAGGTCTTCATGTCTTTTCTTACCTACACCCTATACTTCCCCAACTGTCTTTACCTTATTAATCAGTCTCCTCTGTTGGGGCAGTTATTGTTGAAGAATCCAGTTGTGTGTGTGTTACCCATAACTATCTGTGCTATTGGACAAGAACCTGTCTCTTGTTATGGTGATGCAGCCCCAGAGTATGAGTTATTACATGCTGACAGAGCCCTCATTTAAATTTGATACTGATGATTTTAGCATAGAAGTCATAATTAATAGGGATGTTTACATTTGTTGAGAAGGTGGTAGGGAGGAGGCTGACACATGCATGATTAGATCCATTGTGGGAACTGGAGAGTAGACCCAGAGCCTCTCCCAGAGTGCCAGCTATGTAACTACCCCTACGAAACTGTTGAACACCATCTCTTTGAGTGCCCAAAACTCAGTGAGACAAGAAGAACGCTACTCCCTCCGAGACCAGACAAGTGGAACACCTTGTACGGAGGAAAAGAACAGCTTGTGAAAACATGCAAATTCCACTACATGGCATTGGGCCAAAGGGCGAAAGCTCATGCGCCACTGGATCGATAACAACAACAACAACCCAGAGCCTCTCTAACATGCTTGTTACTTGACTAATTAGGAGCTTCCTTTGAAGTTAGAGTGCAACTCCTTCAGAGACAGGGAAGCTACAATCTGCATATAACAACAACTGTAAAACAGGTGTTACACAGAACTCAAGTTTTGGAACACAAGTCCAGAAAGAGATGAACAACCAGAACTTTCAGCCAGAGTTTACAGCTGGTGAGCTTAAAGAAGAAGAAGAAGATATGAGATTTTTAATAATAGTGTATACTTTTTGTATAAAAGAGATAAAGGATAGTTATTAAAGTGGTTTACCTGATATCACAGCACTCAGGACATTTCCAACAGTGCTCTGTCTTCATATTCAACAGGGAAGACTGCTGATTCTGTTGTCATCATGATTTTATTTATTTGTTTTTCCCCAGCCTGAAAGATTTACTTGCCAACATGGGAGACAACTTCACAGAGGAAGAGGTAACTGATTAAGTTATTTTGGAATATTATTCGTTTCAGTCGTTATTTAGAATGAAATAATCTAATGGTGTCATACACATGAATTAAACTAGTATTTTATCTCCACAAAGTGTATGGGCTTAAGAGAATAGACTATGGTGTCAAATACCATCAGGCACAAGACACTGTCACAATCATTTTGTCTATTATTGCCACAGTACATCCTTATCCACATAAACTGCTGGCTACACTGGGGTGAGGAGGCTTTTGTGGGTGCCCTAATTATAAATTTATTTGAGGTTTAACAGGGTATCTGGACTCCCCCTCTTTGTCTGCTATCAACACTAAGATTCTTTGGTTTCACTGGGTCAAAATTTTTGGCCCACTTGGTTTGCCATAAGCACTAAGATTCTTTGGTCTCACTGGGTTGAACCTTAGGGCCCACTTGGTTTGCCATAAGCACTAAGATTCTTTAATTTCACTTGGTCAAACCTTTAGGTCCTCTTGGTTTGTGATAAGAACTAAGATTCTTTAGTTTCACTCACTGTGTCAAACTTTTAGGTCCTACTGGTTTGCCATCAGCACTAAGATTCTTTAGTTTCACTGTGTCAAACCTTAAGGTCCTGTTTGTCTTCTTTCAGCACCAAGATTCTTTAGTTTCTCTCACTGTGTAAAAACTTTAGGTCCTGTTGGTCTGCCATCAGCACTAAGATTCTTAAGTTTCAGGTTTCAAACCTTTAGGTCCTATTGGTCTGCCATCAGCACTAAGATTCTTTAGTTTCAGGTGTCAAACCTTTAGGTCCTATTGGTCTGCCATCAGCACTAAGATTATTTTTTTTTCTGACTGTGTCAAACCTTTAGATCCTGTTGGTCTACCATCAGCACTAAGATTCTTTAGTTTGACTGTGTGAAACCTTAAGGTTCTGTTCATTTTCTTTCAGCACTAAGATTCTTTATTTTCACTGTGTCAAACCTTTAGGTCCTGTCGGTTTGCCATCCTTAGATCTTGGGATCTTAGTGTGTAAAATATTTTTCAGGTAAAAGCCCTGAGGGGTTAAATAGCATGCATGCACACACGCATGCATACACGCATGCACACAAGAATGCATACAGGCATGCACATACACATGCAGGGTAGCCCAACATCAACTGTTACAGTTTGTTAATGTTTTCACTTGCCTGCATACCCTGGCACAGACAAGCTAGTCATTCTTTGTATTTGTTAACTGTGTTTTGCAGAACTTGGTTAGGACCCACACTGTCACAAAACACTGATGGTACACATGGATTGTCCTTTCACTGGGGCTTGCAGGGCAACAGAAGTAGAGGGAGACCTGAAAAGAATGGAGAGGGAAAAAAACACAAAGCCAAACACAAAGAATGTAAAGCATACAGAGAGACAGAGAGAGCTGCAAGAGATGATTGAAAAAAAGGATAGCTTGAGGGGAGTTTGTTGTGTACCTGTTTTCCACTGAAGAACAAAGTACAGCATAGCAGAAGAAGAATGAGTGTAGTAGGAAGAAGAGGAGAAAAAGAAGAAGAAAAAGAACCGTTGATATCTATCTTTTTAGGTATGAAAATATTTTTACCCCTTAGGTAAATAAAGCAAATCCTGATGGAGTTTTATTTGTTTCTCTATTGCTTTTTATTGTTGACGATACACAGACATATTTTAATGATTCATAGAAGTAAAAGTCTATCTGATTAAATCTATCTCAAATTTCTGAACAGATCAAACAAACGTGGAAGGAAGCACCTCTAGAGAAAGGAAAGTTCGATTACAACACCTTCGTTGGAATTCTCAAGGGAAAAGAAGAAGAGGAACCCAAATAAATTCACAACATCACTTTGTTTCAGCATTTAAATTCTGTGATGATGGAGTCGGACATGCAGATTGGATTATATTGAGAAATGCTTGTTTATATGTAGGTTGATAAAAACATTTTACAGATATTTAGTAAAATTATTATAATTCGCTGATAAGTAAATATCAGTATTTTCTTTTTTTTTTTTGGGTTTAGTAAATTTTAGATGTAAGTAAGCCATTAGTGAATTATAAATTAGATAATTGACAGTAAAAATAATAACAAATATTATAACAATTTTCATTTAAAATAAACTTGTTTGGGAGTACATTATGCAAAATTTTGAAATAAGGCTGTTAAAATTAACTGCAGACATTAATTATTGATTTTTGTTTTTGCTGCATAAGAAAGAACCATAATCCCACTATCACTGCATTCATTTCTCAAATCTAAGATGTCATGTCTGCTCAGGTGTGATGTCCCTTGTACGATAACTGAACCATTTTGTGTTGTTGTTATCCCCCTTGGAGATGTAGTAACCAGAGGTGTTAGTCACCCATTATGGTTCTAGTAATTCTGAGAAGGTAGACAGGTACAGTTACATGTCCAATTACATGTCCAAGACAGTAATTGTATTAGGTGGTCTCTTGGCCAGATGGCTTTTAAATATCCTCTGTCATAAACCTAACATTAGACTCTTAATCAAGGTATTCATGTTCTACAACTCGACGATTCTTGTCTCTGGTTTATTCATCTAAGATATATTTGACATCATAAAGTAACCAAAGAACACCAGTGTAGCTGTAACTATTTCAGCCCAATGTCAAATCTGTGTTTTTCCTTAATTAAAGATATTGATAGTGTGACAAGGCGACTGCTTAACTGATCAAAGATATCAGGAATTGCTCAGAGCTGAGAACAAAGCAACAATAGTTATCTCCATATGCCAGTGTGTCAGTAGTTAGCATGGTCTTTAGGGCCATGTTTTGGCCAGATATTATGTTGTGTTGTTATGTCATTTCTTTTTTTCAAATAAAACATTTATGACAGAAATCAATTCTTTGAGTGTGCGTGTGCATGCGTGCCTGTGTGAACATGTGTTTGTGTGTGTGTGTGCGTGTGTGTGTGTGTGCCTGTGTCAACATGTGTTTGTGAGCCAACATTGCACCAGTGTCTACAGGGAGGCTTGACCTGCGTAGCCCACTCCCATAGCGTGTCTGACCATCGAGATCCGCCTATGGTGAGGCAGCAGACTAGAATCCCTGTATGACAACCCAAAGTATTTAACGTTTCTTTTCTCTGTTGTCAGACCACAAACATGAAGTTTATTGCATCTACTGACAAAGGTGGAAGGAGCTGATCAGACAGGCAACAGCAACTAATGACCCAGCAACACATTCTGTGATAAAATTATATCATGATGATTACGATAGCCAGTGACGTCTTCTTGTCTCCATTTCTTTCTTTAACTTCAACAAGTTTGACTTATAAGTGCAAATTATTTTCTCAGCCGTTCACAGACAAGAACAATCAATCCCTCATATGATGTACAATAACTGGAGAAGTAAAGTAGTCAAAGATCTTTCTCCTGCCATGGGTATATAGGGCTAGATGTGTATGTTTATAGACCACTCAACAATCAATTAATGTAATTGTAAAAATCATGTCACAATTGCTAAGTAATATAAAATATGACCAGAAACCACAATGGAGGGAATGGAAAAGTCTCACACAAATACAACCGAATGTTTTCACCAACGTCTTTATCCGCGGAGGAGTAAATATAAAACAAACTGTGATTATAAAACTCAACAGACAAGACAACAGAGCTTTAAAACTCTTTGGTGGAAAGATTTGATTGTACTTGTACGCATCTATTCCAGTGAGTTCTCTAGTAATATGTTATGGTGAATTTCACACTTCGTGTGATCAACTCGACTGCAGTCATCCCCCTATTTAAGCATCGCAATGTCTATCTTTATTTCCCTGAATATTTTCTTGTATCACTTTAAGGCTGGGTCTACATGCTGACCCAGGTATTTATTAAAGAATTTGCTCCAGATAGGATAGGAACCCACCGTGACCATTGACCTTACAGGCTAGGAACTAAATAAGTTGAGCAGACAATTTACAAATTATATTTCACCAAAGGCACTCTCACGCTCATGCAATGTTCAAAACTTTGATGTCATGGTCGTTGCTGGTAACATACACGAACCCTTCATTGTCCAGCGCCACACCTCTTGGGTCATGCAGGATGTTGTCCTGGGACCTAACCAAGACTTTGTCCAACTGCCCATCTGGGGTCAGCAACAGCAAACCTCTGGAAACTGCCAGAAATATGCGGCCTGACAGGTCAGACGTCACTCCACGTGGTTCTCTTAACTGCAGAGAACCGTAAGGTTGGAGATTGAACTTGGTTTCACCAGCAGAATGTAAGGGTTGTGGTTTGAATCCTTGCCAGAGTGTATATTTGATTAAGAAGACACTTGGCTGTGTAGGTACACACGGTCTCGCGCGCGCGCACACACACACACACACACAGAGATACACATACATATGTACTTTGCCACCATGTTAATAGCATAATGTTAGTGATATTGTCTAATTATTCAAAGTACAATTTATATCATAATCACAACATAAAGCAATGTGTGAAGCTTTATAAAACAGGAGGATGGCCATAGCAATGCAAAGATTGAACAGCCTTAAAAGTCTATGGTTAAGCACCGGCAAGGAGATCAAAATTAGAATTTTGAGAGCATGCATCTTCCCTGTGGCAACATACGGATGTGAGTCGTGGACTATATCTTCCCTGTGGCTACATACGGATGTGAGTCGTGGACTATCTTCATCTGTTGGCAACATACGGATGTGAGTCGTGGACTATCTTCCCTGTGGCTACATACGGATGTGAGTCGTGGACTATCTTCCCTGTGAGTACATACGGATGTGATCGTGGACTATCTTCCCTTTGGCAACATACGGATGTGAGTCGTGGACTATCTCCCATCTTCCCTTTGGCAACATACGGATGTGAGTCGTGGACTATCTCTCATCTTCCCTTTGGCAACATACGGATGTGAGTCGTGGACTATCTCCCAGTCCTTAATTAAGAAAGAGAATACGGGCTTTTGAACTGAAATGCTATAGAAAGATTCTCAGAATATCTTGGACAAAGAAGAAGAGAAATACTGACATCTTGAAAATATGAACATCAAGTGAGATGAGACACCAAGATAAATGTGACAGCAATGTTCAGTTGTGGCAACCTTTTGTTTCTGACAATTGTTAGTCATTGCATTTCACCCTATATGCAAATTTTTTTTTGTTTTTTTTTTACCAACAGATCAACATCACGGCACACGGTTAGTAACCTATAAGTCCTTCGTTCTTCTTATAACTCAAGTCTCAGTCAGAAGCAGCACAGCGCGGTGCACCTAGCACCGGCGACGATCCTGATTTCTTTTGGGTAGATATTTAACACCAAGTTTTTACCCGGGCAGCGCCGTTAGGCTACTCTTTTCGATTTCCAACTGACAGGGTATTTTTTTTTTTTACATGCGCAGCAATACACACGGGCGTTTGATCTCACTAAAAAGAGACCAGGAAAAATTAATAGAAGTTCACGTGAAAAAGTCCCAGCTCTTACCAGGGCACTCGAGGCGGACACCATGCCTTGAGACCACACAGAACCCTCGTCACATGTAGAAGTAACTTACCAAGGCACTCGAGGCGTACACCATGCCTTGAGACCACGCAGAACCCTCGTCACAAGTAGAAGGAAAAATATATACTTTCGTTGCCGAACTACCGGGCTGAGCGCTTGGTCAGACACAATGAGCTCTGAATTTTAGTTGAAAGTCTTTTCAGCTGTGCCCAAAGTGGTTTGTTTGGTCAAAATTACAAAAATTAAGTTTCCTGCTGTAAAAAAAAACAACTGATGGTGCCTTATGCGATTAAATGCAAGTGCAGCCAGTGATCTGTTGTAAATTCTACTTTCATCGACAATGAACTGCATTGCAAATGCTTGAGTGTTATAGCTGACACTTCTGTCTTATACATTTAATGCGTGTGTAGCTACTGGCTTAGCTGAAACGGTATCCTTTGCAAATGTTTCAATAAGGGATAGTGACTGACATTCTATGTGGTTTTGGCATAGCAACGGTGCAACTATGATGTGACTTTTTTGCTAAGAAGTTGGTATTGCGATTACCTGAATATTTGATTAGTCTAATATACTGTTAATCACGCCCGCCCCCCCCCCCCCTTTTTTTTTTTCTCGTCTACACCGCCATAAAAATGGGTAAAACGACAGTTAATCTAAGGTGTAGTATGGAACCGTGTTCCAGTTGTAGGAAAAATAAGAATAAAACTAAAGAACATTAGAAAAACACAACAGAACATCATGTTAAATTTAGGAATTCTTAGAACGGATAAAGAAATTAAGGACCAGTACAATGTCACTGTACAAAACCGGTAAAATGCAATATAAATTATACAGACTATGGATGAACAGTGGGATATGTTGCGTGAGTCAATTCAGCAGACATCTAAAGAGACAATCCCACCAACCCATAGAGTAGCAAACAAAAAATGGATGCCAACCGAAATTCTGCAATTGATGGATGAAAGAAAGAAGAAAAAGAATGATCAAGAAGAATGCTCTAGAATACAAAAAGAAATAGTGAACAAATGCAAAGTGGCTAAAGAAGCCTGGCTGAATCAAATGTGTACAGAGATTGGGGCAAATCACAGGAAAGACTCACATTCCATGTACCAACAGATAAATATGTTAACAGAAAAGATGACACGTAACAGCACTGGATGTTTGAAATCAAAAGATGGTGACTTGTTAATGGGACATAGTAATATAATTAACAGATTGACAGAGTATATAGGGGAATTGTATGATGATAATAGACCAGATGTAGAACCGCAGACCAACAATGATGGTCCACCAATATTGACTGCAGAAGTTGAGGATGCAATACATCGTACGAAGAAAGGAAAAGCACCCAGGCCAGA